TCTCTCTTCCTTATCTCTTTCCTTGTTAAGAAATGTGAAGAAAAATTCAATTTTACTTTAAAAGAAACATTTTATAACTATTTATTAAAAACACCAAAACCAAAAGTTTTGTGCGTCTACCTAGTTGAAGACAAAACATTATTCATAAAAAAATGTAAGTGTATTCTTCTGTTTTATGTACTCTTGTCGTAAGAAACAATACATTTATGGAAAACAATTTTTTTTATTTTTATCTTCTGCTAAAGAATAGTTATTTTACTTTTATTCAAATTTATTTAATTTCCATTTATTTACGTTCGATTTTAAAAGAAGTCTCTAAGCGAAAACTTCAATCACGTTACTTGAACTTGAAAGTCATCTCAATTAGTGCGCGCTTAATTAACTAGAAATTAAACCATAAAATCGATCGAACAATAACCAACTGTATCGAGATTAATGCGCTGGGTCAATTATACAAGGTTAATCATTAATTTTATAGTGCTTATCTATCAAAATATCATAAATTTTCATATTTTTATTGTACATGTATATATACATTTGGAAAGACGACGTTTTCGGAAAAAATTGTTCTTATAAAAGTTATGAAGTACTAAATTATCTATCATATGATGATATTGATTTGACCTTGAACGATTTTAAGAGAGCCATGTCAAAGTCATCTTGATTTTTTCAAATAAAAAAGGAGAATCCTTTTTTTTAATTGTAAAATCTTATAGCCGACGTCTCCCGAAACCTTTTCAAAACAGTATAATTAAATGTCATTTGATTAAATAAAACTGTTTCAGATGTGTACCGCTAAAGTTTAAGTGCTAAAGTTTAATTACCCGGTGTTAGCATTACTTAAGATGCATCACGCGAAAGGCATGGTCAGATTTTATATACCTTTTCTGTGTGCTTCATTAAAGTCCCTTATTTCTTACGCGCGCGCGCGTGCGCGTAAGTACATTAATAACATTGACACACACAGTTAATAATATTTTTCGTAATATATACTTTAATCGATTCATAAAATACAACATATTTACTTATAAATATTAAAATATAATAAAATAATAATGTAATTGTTTATTAAATTAATGCTAACTATTTTAATTATTTGTTCAATTTATTATTTTGGTCATATTGAATATCCTAAAAAGTAAAGCTTTAATAAAGTTTTAATAAAAATAAAAGTTTAAAAAATATTTATATTTCTATAAAGTATAATTTTTAAATAATGAAAATAATAGGAATAATTTTTTAACTTTTTTGCATTATTTTGTTAAAGTGTATTCTTTATTACTTTATTCGTCATTTATTTTGAATGAAAAAAATAGAAACACATTAATTTAGATTAGAAGAAGGAGGTACTATAATTTTTTTTATGAATTATATACAGATATTATTATATACAGATTTAAAAAATAAAATTTCTATAATATAATTTTTATTAATAATTCTTATTAACCATTTAATTAATTAATTCTTATTAATATAATTTTATAAATAAATAAAATTTTAATTAATGATCAGTTATTAAGTTTTAGGACCTCAAAAAGAGTACATATGTATTCTTCAAAGGCTGGTAATTCTAGATACAAGTTCGCTGAGCTGGAACATCGTGCGATCTTTGATCGATGGATTTCCACGCGGTTTACTCCTTTTCCGCGATCACGATCTCACGATCACTTTCTCTCGCATTCTATCCCGCTCTCGTTTCCGGTACGTCGTGGTGCGGCCTCCGTTTTCACGCTCGCTCGCGCAGGTGCCGCATTTACCTTGCGCGCGCGCGCGCGCGTGCGCCGCGCGCATGCACGTTTCAACAAATTGTCATGAACTAAATGCCACGAAAGATTCATAAGCTCACCGCGCGGAGCGCCGGTGTGCGAAGTGCGACCTGTCGTCCCTGTCGAGGCGGATGAATGGCGTATTTATGTGTTTTAACGCGCGACATTGCCTATGTTCCGATATCATTGCATTCCGCATCCACACCACGAGTTGTCTGAGCTGTCCGAGGAGCACGTCCTCGCGTATTTCACTAATCCCAACTTGGTGAGCTTCAGTGGGGCTGCATCGTAGAGATCGTATCGTCGCACGGTAGGCGTTGCTGTCACTTGGCTTCCCTCGCCCCGCGCTCTTTTCACACATTTTGACGTTACTCCTGGGCCCTGTACGCTTGATTTATACTACAGTAGTATAAATTACATGTCATAAACCTTTCGGCCAGTGGAAACTATCCGCGGAATATATGGGCGGCTGTGGTTAAGGGATAAGCGTGTGCAAGGATACACCTCTGACAGGCAGAACTGAGTACTGTTAATAGAACAGTCGTTGTTAGATGATATTGCCAGTGAAATTATTATGCTACAATATTCATTTGTCTCACACAGGCACGATCTTAATAATTGTTGTTTTGATGCAGGGATAATGTTTACCAAGAAGAAAAAGAAACCACAGATCTCCACGCCAACCAACTTTGAGCACAGAGTGCATACTGGATTTGATAAACGTGAGGGCAAGTTCGTTGGATTGCCGCTGCAATGGGCTTCCATAGTCGGGAATAATCAGATTCTGAAGTCTACCAACAGACCACTGCCCTTGGTCGATCCAAGCGAGATCACACCTACCGAGATCCTTGACTTGAAGACCATTGTAAGAGGCCATAATGATCCTAGGATAAACAGACCACTTGCCACTGATAGAACTGTCGAGAATGGCTTGCCTAAGACTAGTACAGTCGCTCGTTCCAATTCTCTTCGTTCTTCGAGTCCGCCACGACTCAGGAGAGATTACAGGTATTGTAATTTAGCTTTTTCTTAGATGTATTTACTATATTGTATCAAACATGTAGATTTATATAAAGAATGATACAAAAGTATATGTCATAATGTATAGCAAAATTTTTGTTGATAAAGACTGGCACTGTAAACATACAACTATATCTATATGATTGATAGAAATAAATTAAGCATCTTAAGTACATTAGATATTCTTGCATTATCTATTTATAGAAATATTTTGATGAGATCAATGAGATTAATTGACAGCATAATTTTTTCTTTTTTTTTTCTTATTTTGCAGGCATAACAGCAATCTTCCGCCATCCGTCCCAGAAGGCCAAGAGATACCTTCAAATGTTAATCAGGGTTTTACGAACTTTGGCAAGCCACATAACTACATCGATAAACTAAGACAAAATTCACCGAATGTTAGCAGTGGACTGAATTCCAGTATGCAAAACATGCTCCCAAATCTTCAAAATCTCAATCCTAATATGCAATCTTCGCCAAATTTAGCTCACTCGGGATCAAATGTACCAAACTTATCTTTAAATTTCCAAAATTTAAGTCCTATTGTAAATTCGCAAGCTCCAGTACAAAGTCCAAATACCCCGCAACTTCTTGACACAGAATTTCATAGACTAAATTCACAAATGGCTATGACGTCAGGTCATTATAATGGCAATGTACAGGTAATTATCACAGTATAATTATTAGATATCGCACCTTCAAAAGATATATATATATATATATATATATAT